TTGGCTTAACCACAATTAGAAATCACTTCAAATAATCCTCCAAACAAATTTATGTTCTGGTATATGCTTCTTTTCGTTCACCTGGGCAAATTTTATTTTTTCGCATTTGTGCCTGAGAACAGATCAATTTTTTTGCATGTTGGTGGAACATTTCTTTAAAAAACATCTTCAAAAGAAACGTTTGTTTCAATTTTTGCAAGTTTACCGGTGCTGTCACCAAAATATGTATAAAAAAAGTTATGCACGTACCGTTCTGAAGACTCCACGGGCTACGTATGACTACGATACGCTAAGGAGTGTTTAGCAAATGACCTTGCTTGCACTAGTCATCAAACACGAAAGCGTCACTTTCAACCATGTTCCTACATTTCCCGACGTGTCTTGGAGCTCTGCAAAAAGCACCAGTTGGGCACAGATATTATAAAATAGTATATATATATATACGTTTTGTTTAAGCTTCCAACTAGGCGCAAGCAATAAATTATGAACTGCATTCAGAAATATGTTGGGAATTAATCAACTAGTCCATCGTCTAGTGTCTATGCCTTGCCAACGGAAGCACAAGAAGTGAGCCACTGCCAAGTCGCCAAAGCCTAGAAAGCAGCAGTAAAGATACTAAAATTGAGCTCAAACCACGGACCATCCGGTCCATAAGTTGGTGCCTTAGTTACAGAGCTATCTCGAACTAACTAAAAATGCACCAAGTGACAGGATATTAACGGGGTCAATTTATCCAACCAAAGAGTTAAGTTGACATGATGCCTTTCCGTTCGCTTCGTAGACCACCGCCAAGTGTTTGAGAACGTATAATTTCTCATGTAAAGCTTTATCCATTTTAAATACATTGGTGGATTGACGCAACCAAGGGAATGAAAAACAGAGGAAAACCATTTTACCTCCATTACGAATGCGCTTGATTTCACTGTGTATTTCATCCACTGACGTAAACATAACAGAATAGTTTTTTCCCCATTGATGGTCTAGTTCAGCCTACCTTCCAGTAATCTTACTCGAGACTGTTTTGCGTAAACTTTTGCCCCATGGTTCAGGAATAATGTAGGACATCTGGATATTGTGATAAGTAGTGAGGTACACGGTTCCTCGCGCTTGGTAAGCTCAAAACTTAAACAGCAAAATCATGGAATGCCTGCTGACAGTTCTTCAGATAGAAAAACGTATGCAAACTCCATCTTGAGTGGCCTTACTTTGGCAGTTTCTTTGACGGATTACTAAAACCTACGTGCCAAGTGGGGCAACGAATTAAGATATTGGAGTGCATGCTTGTTGATTCTTAGTCTAGAATCAGCTTTCCTAGTCGTTGTTTACGACCACGGAACAATGTAACATCTAGGGTAGTCCCTTAAAACGAAGATGTATAGAATTAATTGCTACATAAACGTTAAGTTTACAGAATACAACTGCAGGTAATACGATCTTTAACATATATGGGATGGGACACTCCACAATTTACATCTTGCAATTAACGTGCCCAATGACTGCATGTTTAGTAGCACGAACTTACACATAAAGGATGCAAATGAATGGAACGTCGAAAGTGCCCACGTGATGCCCTATTTTCTACTAAATAAACTGTATGTTTTATATATTCCGAATCAAGATTTTCATCAGCGAATCTTAGGTGAAAAATTTCGTAGCTTTTTTTCATTAGCTTGTCAACCACGAAATTAGCCATAGATTCTGTGAGCGGAAACTGGGAAAACCATGAGAAATGGGTCACGTTTTGCGCACTGTGTGGCAGCAATAAATGATTTCTGTTCCTCACTTTTAGTCACTTAGAAATTCCTCCACCCAGTTTGACAGTTAGACAGAGATTACGATCAAACAGTCCACCCGGCCAAAACTTCCTGCTTGGCTGCAATATGTATGTTGTCTGGGTTTATTTACCATTCACTTTACAAATTAAGAAGATAAAAAGAGACCATCTGATGTAGCTTCTCACTCAGACTTATTGTCTTAATAGAGCAATATGAATGGTTTAGGAAATAAAGATGTGCATCCTGAAGTTATGGGAGAACATTGGTTTCACAAAAACTAATGCGGCTCACGGACAAACAAATGTTGGCGACTGATTTGGCTTCTTGACCAGATCGAAAAACGGTTCATGTTTCATACTGCAAACATGAAAATGAGATTTTGTCCGCACATTTTGAAAGTTTCCAAAATGTTTGCATGGTAGGGTTCTCAATGCCCATCCTACCTGGATCACTTTGGATTTATTGCAGGCGCTCCCATCTGAGTCTTTGCAGAATAGCGCTAAGCTTATCATGAAAATCGCAAGGGAATACATAATGCAGACACTTCTGACATAGAGTTTGTCTTACACCCAATTCGTCGGAATATTCTATTTAATTTTTGAAGGTCTATGGTCACGTGTTCTACTTTTATTTTTGCAAGCTTTATAGCTTACTGGACCCGGAAAATTAAGTCAAGCAAAAAAGTGATATTTACTAGTGGATTTGAATGTAACTTTGATTTCATTTTCTTATTGACGACGCAAAAAATAATGCGAATAATTTGTTGGTCTTATTCTCAATTTTGTAGTCACTTCTTTTTGTCTTCCAAACCTTTGGTTTTGCTTGTTACCAGTTTACTACTATGACAAATGGTGTGTCTATAAAATTTATGTGTCGTTTATTCAGATTAAATTAAGCCCTCTGTCGGGTCCAAAAGTGGTCAGAAAGTGGCCTAAATAACAGGATATGTAATGGGGCAGCATTTAAAAGACGTTTCAGTCCCGTTGACAAAGTAAATTTATTGCTCTGCATCCATTGTCTCATCTCACGAAATCCCGACTAACCAGGTCGGTTCCTCGCTTTCGGATAGACAGTTGATGACAGTATGTCGGTGCTAAAATAGATACAGGAAGAAGCAAAATTTTCACTTATTTCTCCTTTTAGACTTTGTCCGATGAGTAGTAATTTGCAACCTATATAGCTTGTACTATCTTGACTTAATTTTCAAAATATGAGTGTTTGCGTACTTGAAGCACTCACGAAGTACCGTTGAGAGTTGTGCAATGAAACACTCTGAGTGGCGTCCACGAACTTTTGGTAAACTTTGGAACTTGTGGTGAATATAAATTTACTCAGAAGCCAGTGCTTCAAGGCTGATCAAGGAGTAAACTCCACCATGGATATTGCTTCGTTTTGGAGCACGAAGCTCTACTTTTTGTCCAAATCTAACCAAATATCTATTGAGGACAAGACTATTTAACCTGATGAAATGGCAGGAATCTCCAGGTTCGAAATCTGGCTTCATCAAATAATCAGTAGCTGGCGAGCTCAGCTTCGGTCAATACTTGGATTGGCTGACCGATGGACACAATTTTATTTTTTTGTAATTCGTTTAATTGCATTTGATAGAGTTTGCAATTGGTGCTACACTCTTGACTGTTGATCAAAGTAATTTACAGTCAGCTGGATCAACTCAGTTGTGAATCCAAAACCAATCAACAAGTTTGCCGCAGAAAGACAAAGTGAAAAGATATAACGAAATAACTATAATGCTGTGACATGTGAGACCCATACTGGACCGATATACCTACATACATCGTCCCTTTTCATGCAAATGCTGAGTAGATTATTGAGGTATAGGTCTATACAGGTGTCGATTTCATAAGTCCCTACAAGTGCGAGATCCTACGATCTTATTTCTGCGTCGGTACGATATCTTGCAATCTGGAGTAGTTTCTGTTTTGCTCACGATCAAATTACCCCGGTAACGACTAGGAACGCATATGGCAGATTTGTACGTGTTTTGTTGCAGCCAAACGCGTGTAACAATTTATAACCGAATCAATTGAGACTGCAGTGTATGGGTGTGAATTTTGCAGGGGAGGAAGCCTCACATAAATTAAGTCCTTTAAAAAATGACTCCAGGATTAATAGGTCATTCAAGATTCAAAGATGGTTCCATTTAGGCCTTCAGTGAGCCACCAGTGAAAGGAAGAAGGCCTTCGCTGCGGAGTTATTTATTAGGAAATACCAACTGACTACTTACAGACTATTGGACAGGGAAGCAAAACTCTCATTTGCATCTTATTTACAAAAACTGAACATCCATCTTTTCTTTAACGCGTCTTCCAAAATTTCACTAGATATTCATTGGCTGTTGCTTAAATCCAAGCAAATACTACAAAGCGACTCCACAAGTTCCGCAACAGGTCTCCCTTTTCAAGCGACGCAAAGCGAATTTACATGAAGAAAACATGCTACTCGCATGCCTTCCTCGTCAGTAGTATCACCGTTACACGAGTATCCTATTGTACTACCCCTATAGAAGCGTTGCTAAATTTTGCGGCAAATGGACTGTTCTTTTTGCTGTTTTCTGAGACTTTACTCCCCAGTATCTGATGCAAATAAGACGGCTGACTAATTGGTAACTAAATGAAGCCCAAAATACATACGAATGAAGTAAACTAACATTGCTTTGCTATATATATATATATATATATATATATGTCTTGTTATTGTGCTTGTTCATCATTCTGACCATCTGATTGGAAGATTAGAGATTTCGGAAAGCAAAAGAATTTACGCATGTTACTGCTGTTGTCAGAAACCGTCTTTTCACTTCAGAAATAGTGGAAAACAAGCCATCCATAGCTGACAAACTATGTGATATTTCAAAGCTTAAAAAATACACTACAATGGTCACAAAACAGGACATCAGCTTTGAAATTCGGTATCTATTTATAAGTGATTTCCATTCTTGGTAGAATATATCCGGGCTTCCAATGTAACCCGTATAATGGATACTTTTATTAGTGATATTTTGTATCGCACGGTTATCAGGAATTAGCTTGCTTCATTATCACATCGTAGAATATTCATTGGTAATTTGCTGTCAGAGTCTAAACGGGAAACTGAATTTCCCAAAGAGGTAGACAAATACGTTTGTTCCATCAGGAACATTTCTGTTGCATTTCTCCAAGCCGCCACTAATCTAAACATATAATAGGACTTTCTCCCTCTTTTCAGGTAATTGTATACCCACAAAGAAAGAAGATGCAGCGTCTTGGGGCTCTGGTGACAATCGCCTGCATCTGGATCATGGCTCTCTTTTTGGCCTGCCCAATGATTGCATTCACGTCTGTCAGTCACGGCATTATACGTTCCGATGCAAGCGTATGCTCGGCAAGCACTCTGGATAGTCACGGATTGCGCAAGGCCAAACTTGTTTACGGAGGTGTTACTCTTGTCGTACAGTACTTGTTTCCAGTTACGGTTGTGGGTTTCGCCTACACAAGAATTTACTTAAAGATTCGGACACGCCAAAAGAACCAAACACAAAATCAGCTGATATCTAGTCGTCTGAACAGGCCACAATCTAGATGGACGGGGAGGAATCAGCTGTCTTCAGGATTCGAGGACATTCGCCTTTCGAATTTTATTTCGGAGCATGAAATGTTTACTACCATTGGTCCGGAAACGGTCCAATCAAACGGTCGACCTCCAAGGCGTTTTGCTGGCCCCTTCCGGGATCCAAATCGTCTGTTGAACACTGACCAGTCAGACCGCGACCGCCTGGTTCATCGACGTCAGATCAAGACAAACGCCCTATTGCTGGCAATCACACTCACATTCATTCTGTCCTGGACACCTCTACACGTATTTAACTTAACAATGGATATGGTCGAAACCCAAAGAATTGACATTTTAAGCTTAGTCTCGCTGGCGAACCAGGAAACCTCAAATCACACTTACCCAAATTTTAACCATTCAAAACCAAACGGTATGAGCCATTCCGGAACATATCTGATCGGCAGAAATGTCACCATTATTCATGCCATATGTCTCCTTTGTGTTCACTTGGCCGCATGTATTAATCCGATTTTGTATGGCTGGCTAAACGAGAATTTCTGTCAAATTTTTCGGCAAACTTCAAGGAATTACTTGGCCTGGTGCCGTTTAAGATAATGTGAACGGTGACCTTGCTGAGTACTATCCATGGAGCTCTTCCACTCAGGTCCCTTTTCGTCAACGAAGAAGATGAAATGTATAAATTAGTTTTATATAAAAATCAGTCACAGCCAGAACCCACTTGCAATTTGACTTCTCAGCAAGCCTATTTTTATTGACGTGGTAACATTGTGAGTACTGTGATCAGTCCCTCCGAGGACATCCGACGTCCGTGATTTGACAAAGACCGAGAGGCAACAGCCTCATGTTTATATTCCAGCTACATTCCAGAACATAAAAATTGTGTTGCATTTTACACTAGTAAATATACTGATAACAAAGAAAATGCTTGAAAACCCATTCACATTTCAAGTGTGTTCTTTTTGGCGTTGAGTACGATAATATTTTAAATATCTTGGGAGGCAACGGTGATACCGCGATTGGGCAATCCAGAGCGATGCTGGACTGGGACTTCAAATTGACGGTACGCATTTCTAGCTATCACTGAAGGATGAATAAAAGACTCGACTAGAATGTATGTGGTTGGATTTATTTCAAATGTAAAAAAAGCCGGATGGAAACCTCTCCTTACAAAGGACTATAGGATGAGCATAAATAGTACATGGATGTCCAGTTGAATACATGGACCGGTTTCCAGCCAAACGATGCCCAAAGCATACACCACACTAGTGTGATCTCTTTCAGCCCATTCCATTGGCATATGACTTAAACCCCCATCAGAACTTACTGCACAGTGATCGCACCTAAGATAGAAACGAAGAAAGAAAGCAGACCTCCGGGAGTCTTTCAATTCAAGCTGTCTCAGTTTCGAGAGAGATAGCATACATATGCTTTGGGTCTAGGATCAAATGTTTATTGTCGAAGGACACAAGTACCTAAGATGACTAAAGACTTCACAAAAACTTGAGAACGATATCCGGCATTTCAAGTCAGAAACGTCCACTGGGCAATCATGGCAACTATTTAAACTTTAGCCTTTGTATTCCTATGCATTTTTCAACTGCTTTTTCAAGGATTCTACCACTAATGGCTAAATCACGTGATCTATGTTTTACAGGTGACTCTAGTGAACCTCGCACATTGGTTGGTGTTCGTTTCGCATTTCGATGTATAGGCGCAGATATCACCTGTCACATCTAAGTACAGCGCCCCTGCAAATTAGTGTCGAGCAGCAGGCGGTCAGCTGTTTTCGCACAGAACACAAACAACCGGCTGCATAGGGGATTTCACACTTACCGATAAAACTGAAGTGCTTGGGGAATTGTCTAGGGCTGCCATCTGGCACACCCAGCACCTTTCGGCGAATGAAAGAAAATGAGAAAAAACATCTCAACATCATAACCTAAATTTAGTTATATCGGTCCCTCGCACTCGGCGGCTGACATTTATTTAAATTCAATTTCAAACAAATAAAACGGGCACTGAGCCTTCTTAACCCAGAAATGTAACAAACGGACAAACCACAGCAATATGCGGAAAAGGTCACGAGACAGTCTATCCGGGTACACTGAAAAGGCAACACAAAACACTCTTACCCGTAAAGTCAGGGAAACATTTTGCTGAGAAGTCGCATATCGGCAAACACGAATCAAACGGCAACAAATCGTTCTGGACGAAAGTAAACATCTCGTCTACATAGAGTTTTAGAGATGTGAACATTCTTAAGCGTTCCCTTGAATTTTCCTGGGCCTTCATTGAATGTTAAACAACAGTAAATGGGTGCTGTGAAGAGGTTCCATAATTTACTTGGTATTCTCCACCTTCAAACGGATGTGGGGGCGGACCTGGGATATCAGACCAAAAACTACTTGCATGATTCCTCAGTAATACACGCCGTTACGCTAGTAGGAGGAAAGTCCACCTGGAAATTACTGTGTTCGCCTAACTTTGACCAAATCCACCCAATGGCTGAAAAAGTAGTGAATGCAAAATCCACGGTATATTCTGTCAAATCATATTGTCAGTTTTTGGTGCTGTACCCAGCTCTAACTCAGAGAACCTAAAAGCTTTGCTGATACTTTCTCCCTGCAGTCCGTAACATAGTGGACTGTGTTCATGTATCCTAAAATAGAGCAATTGTTTGGCTATTGTTACATGGTAGTGCGGCCTCTATCCGCACTAAGCTACTTTGTCATTTTCGCCCTTTTTGAGAGGCGCTGTAATCTTTACGTTCCATCCTTGGGACCGGAAGTATGTTCCTTTAGTAATAATCTTCCCGCATAATACATTCTGGTGGCTAGCCATTAATCAGCCATCGACAGTCAAACGCTTACCGATCACTTTGACCAGTTTCTACGCATTTTGTGAAGAGGTGTCGTAAAAGTTTAAGGAACGATAAAACCAAGCTGGATTGAAGAAGACAAAACACATCTATAGCACGAGTATACAATTTTTATTTCTCTTCATGCTGGTTATCGGAATCAGCTTACGCGTAGTGCGTTTCATGATCCTATCAATTCAACTACAGCGAATGTTTCAAAATATGGACCTTATGGTTGTTATACGGGTGGTCTCCCGAAGCTGAGGCGTCTGGCTGTCTTGTGAACATGCCAGCAATAATGAATCTGAACAGTGCTCAGAGCTGGTACATCACAAGTCTCCCTATACACACCACGACGGAATAAGATTACCCACTCCTAACGACATTACTCAATCGAAGTGAATGAACTTTTTCAGCCAAAGGGAAATTCCGCCAGAAGTGCAGACGCAAGAGTACTAGAAATGATCGCAGATTCACCTCAGGCCACGCCTATATTTCGATTATATCCGCCGGCTTTCGGAATTGGATTCTTTGCAAATCGTTATGGAATAATATCCTTTCAAGGACTTTCCTAATCTGTTCAGAAGTAGCCATCTACCCAGTTTTGTCGTCACGCGACTTTGCAACTTTTGGCACTCGTCATATGCTTGACGAGATTTCAGTCAGTCTTAGAAAAATACTAAAAGATAACCACTGCAATATGCGAACGATACGAAACAAAAGTCGTCTTTCGTCCATAGAGGTGGCTTGCGCTATCCAGTGCATATTTGCCAGCTTATTGTGTATATATATGCCAGGAAGCGACATTATCAAGTATTTCACCGATAGAAATCAGAATCGGTAGCTAGTGACAGTTTGGTCATTTCGGTCTCCAAGCTGACATGCAAGCCAGCGATTTTTTGATCAAGAGTTACCTGCAATACTTCCGTATCTATAGATACGGAAGTCTCCCTGGCCACCAAATATGTTATGACACAGCCATTGAACATTACTGCTGGCCACTATGCAGCTTAAAAGCAAAGAAAAGCATCAAGTCGTTTGAACACGAACTGAGGTCGCTTAATTGCTGCATTGTGCTTGAACTAGAAATATACAAAGTAAAAAAATCATTGAAATCAGTAGCTAGTGAAACGCGGTAAAATGTCAGTAATCACTGGATAACTTGACAGCCTCGCTGAATTTCGGGGTGGTCAGTGTAAAGCCTCTATCTTTAACCTGCGTTAAGTCAACCCGCATAAAGGTTGAATGTGAATACAAATATCCATAGGTAAAACACTCTCCAAAAAAGATTGAAAAGGCTACTGTTGAAGTGTTATGCACTCAAAGGCTAAAAGTACAACCAAATGATCCACAAAGGTTCCAGGGAAAAAGAGCTACACGTATAATTGAAATCTTTCAACCGAACTGTATCATGATGCCGCGGAAGAAGAGATAACCACAGATATTGCTGAGAACAGCAGGTGGCAAAATCCCATATATGGTTTGGACATTCTGCGACCAGCTGATTAATTAACAGCATTGCACCCGCAAAATCCGTGTGTCTTGTTAGACTGCGGGGTGTAAACCTTGCTGCTTACATATTTTAACTGTTGACACCTTTATATCACAAATTATGCTACTGGTCAAAAAGAGAATGACTGTGGCCAATCAATCAGAAATTTTCCTGACACCGTTTAACCTGAATATGGAAACAGATAGTGTCATATGTGCCCAAAAAACCTCGACCCTTAACGTTTTTCGTGAAAAAACTACTTCTGAGCGTTCAAATAATACTGCTAGTTGGCTATCACCCCACAAAATTTGCTAGTTATTACTCCTGAAAATGGAAGCTTCCACAAAAACTGTATGTGGCGATAACAGTCTACACTTTTGAGTTTGTTGCTGGAATAGGCCGCCATATTCCTTTGGTTTGATCCATCCGCAACATCAGACAGTGAAAATTGATTAATTCTTAAAAAAGTCCCCAATTATTTCAGAAAAATTGAATAAGTTGACACCCCTGATTGCTGAGGTCCATTATTGCATTTATATTAACCACCCTAATAGCTGTTTCAGGAATGTTATCTATATTCGTTATAGCATTTATATTAACCACCCTAATAGCTGTTCCAGGAATGCTATCTATATTCGTTATGTATTCATATCACACGCTTAGAAACCGTAAGGAGATATAACCTGAGGACACTCAACGTATAGAAACCAAATGGTCGATAGTCTTAGGGCGTCCAAATTGTTCAGAGTTCAGAGGTACATCGTTCATGTTTGTGATTGCCTTATTCAGCTTTTTGATGTTAATGATATAAATCAAGAATATAACAGAAAAATATCCTTTTGTGAAAAGCGTCTAAGACTCTCTACCTTATGTGATGGACTCCTTGAAAGTTTACTGGAGAAATCACGTCATTCAGAATTAAAGTCGTTTGAGCGGCTTTAGTGTGGGTGGGTCTGTTATTTGAAACGATTTGTTTGTTAAAGGACCTGACACCGGGGCGACATGTGAAGTGAATGGGAACGCCGCTTCGACGTCAGTTGATTTTGTCCTCAACAAATTTTATTTATTTCAACAGTCACACAATTGATGCCACAAAATTCACGCATCAATAACTGCTTTGGAGTGACGCGTATTTTGCAGCCGCCCTGATTGTCAAGTCCTGAAAGCATGCGAAATGCTGTTCGTTCAAGCGATGCACTCTCTTCAATGGGCTGCGCGTTTGCAACAACGAGCTTTTAGTGCCTG